CTACCAATTGATATAGTATGACAATTCTATTCTACTGCAGTACTTAGAATTTTACCACTACTCACATTAAACCTACCATATTTACTTTTGGGCTAGTGATTAATTTATTGTATTAATCATACAATATAGTGAATAGTGTAGTCATTTATTTATTTCGTTTCTATGACATAGCTCTATTTTGTAGAAATCAATTATGCAATCATAACAACAGAAATACTGCATCATTACATTTTACGGTGACATAGTATTTATTTTACATATAAAAATTTAAGCTAATGCAATAATTAGTTCAATTAGAATCATTGAATATTGAATAATTTAAACATTAATCGAAGACGAAGCGGTTGACAACTTTCAAACAGTTGACTAGGCCTAGTTGCCTTCAATAATTGCAATGCGAACTGTATGCACTGAGGTCGGCAAACAGTGTACAAAGTGTGCAGGCACTTTGGACGTCGTGGCACTTGGACGTCGTGCAACAGTCAAATATTGATTGGACGTCGTGGCACTTGGCACTTGGACGTCGTGCAACTGGCAGAGGCTTTGGACGTGGTGCAAATGATACTTCTTTACAATTCTACAGTGCGCTGTTTCACGACGTCCAAGTGCCACGACGTCCAAAGCTTGTAGAAAGACTATATTTTTGGCAGTTACTGTACTTTTGGACGTCGTGGCACTTGGACGTCGTGCAACAACTCAAAAATTATGTTTTGGACGTCGTGGCACTGGAAAAATATTATTGGACGTCGTGGCACTTGGACGTCGTGCAACACTCCCGTGAAGTACCAGCTTCATATGAGCTATTGATTATTAAGATTCAGACACAGGGGCAAGACAGTCCCACACGAGCTTTGAAATAAATTTATATGAGTTAAGTGCTATTAAGGTAGCTTGACTATCAGTGTAGATATTCATTTTGTTTTATCTCTAATCTCTTTACTAAGATTTTCTTGAGCACAAATCAAGATAGCGGTGATCATTATTTATTATTCATTCAAAGTATTCAAATTTATTATTCATAATTTAAGTTTGTTAAGTTTGCCTATTTTTAAAAAATTATTTTAAACCTGTTAAATGTTCAATAAGGGCAGCCTATATTTTGGAATTTTCATGTCAAATTTTAATAATTATAAGTATTGCATCTTATATCTTTTACAATAATAATGACGATGTCAATTACAATAATGTATTGTTTAAAGACTGAATAAATGACTATTCTGACTATTCTATTCTGACTATTCTATTCTGATCTCCGCTTGAAAAACTGTCAAGTGAACTCCCATGGAAAGGCTGACGCCATTACCTTCTCTTTTGCAAAGCACAGATGCACCGGTATGCCCCCTTGTTTATATTAAATTCTTTTTTTAAATTACAGTCATCTTGTCTCCAGAATGGTTATTGTAAAATAATTAACTAACTAAATTAATAGAGTTAATACTTTTTCAATATTTGAGCTTAAAAGCTTTTTGTTTCAATACCTCAAGCTGTTTCAATTTGGCGACCATTTACAGTCTTTAATGCCAAATTTCATGAAAACCGTAAAAATTAACAAATTTGTTTTTAAGATCATAAATAGGAGAGTTTAAATCCAAATCAAATGAGACCTTATTTGATAAAATCTGATGACAAACAACCGAGTTCTCAGTTTTTTTCTACATTCGATTACGCAACTTTATAGGACTGCCATACTGATGCTCTGTAAAATAACAAATAATAAACAGTAGTTCTATAAATTGTGTAACCGAATGTAGAAAAAAAACTGAGAACTCAGTTGTTTATCGTACAATTTTAACAGATAAGGATATGATTTGGATTTAAATTCCTCTGTCTTTTTGATCTTAAAAACCTTTTTTTTATGTTTATACCGTTTTCATGAAATTTTCCATTTTAGATTTTAAATGACTGCCATATTGAAATGGCTTGAGATATTGAAACAAAACTTTGTAAGCCTAAGCTCTTTTTACTTTCTAAGCTACACATTTACCAATTTTGAAATTACTATCTTAAAAAATGCCCAAAATATAAAATAATTCTTAAAAATATCAAACAGACCGACAAACAGAAATCCAAGCATTTTAGACCCGTAACTTATTGCATTTTAAGTTTGTCTCAGCCCAAGGAACAAGTCCACAAAATACAGGGTGAATAAAAAGTCAAGACCCCCCCATTTAATATTTTTCCAAGTAAATATACAGAGATATCCTTGTGGGGGTCGTGCAATCTTAGCAGGAAGTTTCATTTTATAATTTTGAAATTTTTGAGTGTCCCCCCAAAAGGGGGGATTTGGGGGGTAACTCAAATATTTTAAATGTAAAGCCACTTCAAGTGACACATCATTTTAAAGTGTTTACAAAAACTTAAAGAATGGTGAAAACTAGAGGTCGCTATCTCTTTTCTATCCAAAATGGTAGCCTGTCAAATGTTGTGGAAAATCAATGGTTAATATTGGTTCGTAATGGTAATATTGGCTCCCACTTTGGATAGAGAAGAGATAGCGAACTGGTTTTCACCATTCTTCAAAAGGGGGATTTGGGGCGCAACTCAAATATTTTAAACATAAACCCCCTTCAAGTGGCATCTCATTTTGAAGTTTTTACAAAAACTTAAAGAATGGTGAAAACTAGAGGTCGCTATGTCTTCCCTATCCAAAATGGTAGCCCATCAAATGTTGTGGAAAATCAATGGTAAACTTGGTTCGTAATGGTAATATTGGCTACCATTTTGGATAGAGAAGAGATAGGGAACTCTGGTTTTCACCATTCTTTAAGTTTTTGTTAACACTTCAAAATGAGGTGTCACTAAATGGGGGTTTACATTTAAAATTTTTGAGTGTCCCCCATTAGTTCCCTATCTCTTCTCTATCCAAAATGGGAGCCAATATTACCATTACGAACCAAGTTTACCATTGATTTTCCACAACATTTGATGGGCTACCATTTTGGATAGGGATGACATAGCGACCTCTAGTTTTCACCATTCTTTAAGTTTTTGTAAAAACTTCAAAATGAGATGCCACTTGAAGGGGGTTTATGTTTAAAATATTTGAGTTGCGCCCCAAATCCCCCTTTTGGGGGGACACTCAAAAATTTCAAAATCATAAAATGAAACTTCCTGCTAAGATTGCACGACACCCAAAAGGATATCTCTGTATATTTACTTGGAAAAATATTAGATGGGGGGTCTTGACTTTTTATTCACCCTGTATGTCAAGACAATTTGGAAACACCCAGTATATCTATATACAGGGTTTAAAAAAAAAATTGGGGACATAATTTACTAGTGATTCCTTGTGCCAAAATAAAGAGGAAATCAAGAATAACATTTTTTTCAAAATTGCTTGGTTAAACCAGATATTTTGTATTTTTTACATAATATTTTTTGTCTTTGCAGTTTTTCAACCGATCTTCATGTAACTTGGTGTGTATGTAAAGGTCAAAGAGATGAATGTTAGTTAGAAAAAAATCATCTTGATTCAAGTCAATATATCAAAATGGCGACCATTTTAATATTTTAAACTTTAATTATTAAAAAATGGCTGATTATATTAAAAAATGTCATGAACACTTTTATTTAGCATTTTCAATTCCCTATCAGTTCAAATACGAAATAGCTGAAATATTACTATATTTAGATGTAAAATGGGGCAAACCTGACTAGCTTCTGCCTTATTCTAACCCATTACAACTAAAAACCGTAATATTTCAGCTATTTCTTATTATTAAATTGCAATAAACATTTTATACTTATACGCCAACCCCGTACGAAGGACGGGTACTCTGCTAGTACTAGGGGGAGAAAGTGATAGGTGTAAATATAAAGTCAATGGTAATAGTAATAGTAGGCTACCGGTACATAAAATTAATGACTGTACTGTTGTATGGTCATTTTTTGGTACGGTAGGTACCACGTAGGTACCTACCTTCCAATACACCTTGCCTACCTTATCTATACTATACCATCCATTTCATATATCAAGGTAAATGTAAATTGCGGGAAATAAGTTTAATGACTTATTTATTTATGTTGTAATGTTGTAAACAATGAGTACTGTTATGCTAAAGAAAGAGAAAACAACAAAGTTATTTTTCCTACAGTCACCCGACAAAGTTGGCTTCCCTGTACTGTTTATAGTACAGAAAGCTGCTAATTGCTGCATATTTATACTTTGCCGTACGGTTTATACTTTGCCGCACGGTTTATACTTTGCCGCACATCAGGATTCCAACCAAACAACACAAAACAGCGTGGTTTTATTTTGCACGTAATCCGTGTACGCTTGGAAATAGGTTGGCAACACTTAAAGATAATAATACTATGAACAGCTGATTGACTATTATAACTACGATTTAACCTGTCATTTCGTGTTTATAGTTTTGGTATTTCTGAACTTTCTGGACTTTTCTTTTAAACGTTTTTAAAACATTCCTACGGTCTTAATAAACAAGAAAATACCTTTAAAGCATTTTTTTTAGGCGCGGAAACCACTTCAAATTACAAAAACATACGGAACTATATTCTCAAAAGACGGAGCACATTTCTTGCCGAGGAAAAATAGCGGAGTGATACGGACCACGGGTACTACTTTCTCCAGGGCACCATTTGTGTAATTGTGTTGCTAGCTGAACCTAAAAACGTGTTGTATAGTGTTTGAAAGACTAATTATTTATGTTTTATAGTGACTGTAGGAAAAATATAATGTGTAACACGAGTGAAAAAGGCCTTTGCTGCACTCGAGATCATTGCTCTCGTGTGCAGCAAAGTGCCACTTTCACCACTAGTTACACAAATAACTAATTGCGTAAGATTTATCAGTATGCGAATTCCTGAACAGTTTGTTTAGTCATGACTAATTAGTATGGAAGTAGAGAATGAGTCATTATTGTTGGTCTGCATGACGTGCGTCATTGTGACGTCAGATTAACAACTAACTAGGTTTTGACTTTCAAGTGGTGAAATAGAAATGCAGCTCCACTCCACATCCTTTAGTTCAGTCTACATAGCAGTGGCAGTGAAACTGAAACGAAACGAAACAACGGACTACGTCGAGAAGGGAGAAGAAGACTGAACTGAACTAGAAGTATCTAAAGTGTCAAATCAAGTGCTTTGTCACACAGTAGTCCTGCGCATTTTGTGTTATTTGAGTTATCTCACTTTTTCATTAAGTGATTTGGCAATCTAATTAGTTTCATTATCTTCGTTGTGGTGACATCACATCTCACAACATATTTCATGTAAGTTTAGTACATTCAAATTAAGTTCTTAGATATTAAGTTACTTCGGTAAATCTATCTTCTTTTAACTTATGCCAGGCCACAATCTACTGTATGTAGGCTAATGAAAGTGATATAACTTTGGTATGATTGTACACTTTCATTGTCCATATTTTGCTCGTTTACTTCGTGTTGTTTATTAATTTTGCATTTTGAATAAGTTGTGTATTTAAACTCAAACTGTGTATTTAACATTGGCTTTATTTAAAACAATCAAAATTGCACAACAGAATCCAAGTTAGACAGCCTAAGGCCTACCATATTGCTTTTTCGTGGATTTGGTTTTAAATTAATACAGTCGAACCTCGTTAGTAATAACCTCGGGGGTACAGTTTCTTAACTGGGCTATGCTAATATCGATTGAAACTATCGATTCGATTAGTAAACCTTCATGCGATTTTTTCACCATCAGCAAGTTTGGTTGGTTAGGTTAGGTTAAGATAGTTTAATTTGATAATAAATATATTTAAAAATATTGATTATTAACCCTCCGAGTGTTATGTGTCGAAAAATCGACACATAACACACTTTGTGTAGTGTTTTGTGTCGATTTTTCGACTCACAAACACTGTTTACGGCGAAGGCTCTATGACTGACTGAATCGGATTGAACTGGATCGAGTTAGGTATCGTTCTTCTCGTTATATTCTAAGCTTTCTCCAGAGGTCTGTCTCAGCGCTGTATGTTCTCCGAGCCGATCGTAATTGTAGCAGATAGCTGACGTGCGTATTTGTAAATAGCTAGGTTACCCTCGGACCGATGACTGATGTGTTTTATTACGTTTATCATTGTTTTAGTGTTAAAAATCAAAAGTAGTGATATACGTGGTGCATTATAAGAAGATTTAAGTGATTTTTTGAAGGGCTGGTTGATGATCTTGAAGAAGTAGGTAGTGATATTGATGTAAATTATCAGCCAGATTCCTAGCTATGGTTAGGCTATGCATTTTTAGCTAAACGCTATGTACTGAAATCTGTTTTTTGCCCATAACTTATTTATTTGCAAATCTACTTCCTTATATTATTATATATTTGTAATCCTCATAAAATTAAGAACAAAGTGGCTACTTTCAAATATTTATAGGCCTATAATTTATACAATTTCACTGAGCGCGAACTTATTTTTTTTTTTGAAAATTTTCCAAAATATTTTTTTACCAAAAAATTTTTTTTGAAACAAATGTTCCTTATGTTTTATGTATAATATTGAAGCCCATGATTTTCCAAACAAAATGGTTTATAGAACAGTAGAATTAACATTGTTTTAAACTTCTCAGATTGGTTTTAATAAAACCTTGCAAATGCGCCAAAAATAGGCGGACATTAAGGCCTAAATTATGGACACTCGGAGGGTTAATCAATATTTTCAATTTGATAGTTTCAATCGATATTAGCATACCTTAGCCCAGTTAAGAAACTGTACCCCTTGGCTATGCTAATATCGATTGAAACTATCAAATTCAAAATATTTATCAATAAGTTAATTGATACTTACTTTTAAATATAGGCTATCTACATTCATAAAGGTCAATGCTAAAAACATCAGTAATTATTTACCGTATTTACATTGGGATATGATGTAATTTTGATAGGTATGTCTACTTACAGTATTTTTAACGGAGGAAAATCGGTACTTTCCTGTTATCTGGTACCTGCGAAAAAATTCTTTAACCACAAGTACAACTTCGTCGATCCAGAGTCCGGAGCACATACTACCGTTTAGGTTAGGTTTGGTTAGGTTAGGTTCGTTTACTTACAATACTCATGTTATTGATAAACTAACCTAACCTAACCTAACCAAAGTACAACCAGGTACCAGATAACAGGAAAGAATTTTTTCGCAGGTACCAGATTTTTTAACAGGAAAGTACCTTTTTAACGCTGAACCCAAAAATGCAATCAGTTTTGGTAGGAGAGATTCCTAAGTGGGCGTACAGTTAAATAATTAATATTAAACTTAAGCTTCAGTTTTGTAGATTTATTAACATATTTGTGGTATGGACGAGTTCCAGTTCTAGTGGAGACTAACACTAAAAGGGGTGGAAGGTTTGTGGAGTGGAAACAGCTGTCAGTTGTTTACATTCAATACCAAACTACCGGTACTAAACAGACAAAACCACACACGACGCCATGAGAGCAAAATCAGAGTTACAATATGCAATAGGCTAACTAGATTTTTCAAAGAAAATGGACTTTGGTGCTGTTAAGAAAATACAATAAATCAACTACGATACATAAACTAATAATCACATGAACATAAAATATCAAACAAAATTGAATTAATTCACGTAAAATATCAGTACAGTAATAGAATTTAGGCCACTGCCGACATGATCATCGTCCTCATTCCAATCCTCAACCATTGGCTAATGCCTCAACGTCTGTTAATGAACGTGCCATAGTGCATAATCCCATAGTACATAATCCCATTGTGTCTAAAAGTGAAAACGTGCCACAGTGCATAATTTAATGTATAAGCAACTAATAAATGATGTTACATAATCTAATCTAACCTAACCCAACCCAACCTTAATATTAATGTTTAAATCGCAGTTTATGTCAGAAAAGGCATGTGAGGAAGATAGGTCGGACTTTATGCGGATTCGTGACTATATTAAGTCCTTTGAAGTGAGGTTAGATTAGGTAAGTTAAAGGTTAGGTTATAATGAACCGACTCATTAATTACCTTCCTAACCTAACCTCACTTCAAAACACTTAATACAGTCACGAATCCGCATTTAAAACCCGACCTACCTTCCTCACATGCCTAAATAAGAACTGATTATTTGGTTTCAAAAATCAAAACAAATTGATTTGATTTCATTCTATATTAGATCAAGTATTTAAACAGTTGTTTAGCTCTTCTCACTCAGTCCTCCTCACTCCTCACTCAGTACGGACCCGTCCAGTCCAGACCACGCCATATTACCATTACCTTCAATACCGCTCAATTATCCTTAGATTCGTAATCCTAACCTTCGTTTTACGGCCACTACGGCAACTTAGGAATCTCTCCAACAAAAACTGATTGCATTTTTGGATTCAGCGTTAAAAATACTGTAAGTAGACATATAAAAATTACATCATATCCCAATGTAGATACCAATGTAGGTACAGTAAATATTTGCCAAAACATCATCTCTATAACTTGCTTAACCTAGTAGGCCTAATTAGGTTAAAAACCTCCATTAGACAAATTTGTTTGTGACACGGGCTAGGACTAATAAACCTCAAGATTCAAAATTCAAGATTTATCTCGGCCACTAAGTTATTTACAATAGGCTTTGTCTAACATAACATATTGAACTAAAATTAATATTTCAGTCTTTTCCTGGAAAAAAAATAAAACATAAAAAATATATGAATAAAAAACTTTTTTTAAAACAAAACGTTTTTAAACGCACTAAAAAGTAGAAAATAATTTATAAATATGTGGAGAGTATTTAAACACTTGTAAGATTTAAAACGAAAAACGTGGGGTGCATGCAATATATAATTTACAATTACCTTCACCTATTCAACCTATTACCTATTGAACCTATTAAATTTATTGAACCTATTGAACTTATTGGTATTATTATCAATTGTGTGCACCCCACTTTTTTCGTTTTAAATCTTACAAGTATTTATACTCTCCACATATTTATAAATTATTTTCTACTTTTTAGTGCGTTTAAAAACGTTTTGTTTTAAAAAAGTTTTTTATTTATAAATTATTTTCTACTTTTTAGTTTTTAATGTGTGGATGTTAAATCTATTTCAAGCATCTATATCAGATTAAGACAGAGGCATGTGGGAGATCTAAGGTTTATTTGAGTTTCTTTTTCATATAATTATGTATTAGATTGAATGTATGGCCTACCTACTAACTATACATATATCAATCTATTTAATTTATTGTTTACTTTATAGAATACTAAATAAATAACAATTGACATTATTAACAAACACCTTTATATATGCAATCAGATTGGTTATCTTTATTTTGAAACGTTTGTTTGAATAAAGAATCTCTTGGGAGCATAACCTGTAGGACCTCTTAACCTCTGCTCTTCGAACTGTCAAATTTAAGTATCTACAGCTGACTTAAATTAATTGATATATTTACATTCTTTCAAGATGTAAACATGGAAAATGTGGAAGCCCATGGGGCGTAGCCCAAGGGAAATATGAAATTTAAATTATATAATATTGCATTGTCATCCATTTGTGAGCTATGTTTCAAATTTCAAGTCTCTAGCTCATCAGGAACTTCGTTTAAAATTGATATCAAAATTTGTAGGAAAGCGAGCTAATAAAAACAAGCCCATGGGGCGTAGCCCAAGGGAAATATGAAAATTAAATGATATAATATTGCATTGTCATCCATTTTTGAGCTATGTTTCAAGTCTCTAGCTCATCGGGAAGTATCAAAATTTGCAAGAAAGCGAGTTATTAAAAACAAGCCCATGGGGCGTAGCCCAAGGGAAATATGAAAATTAAATGATATAATATTGCATTGTCTTCCATTTGTGAGCCATGTTTTAAGTTTCAAGTCTCTAGCTCATCGGGAAGTTGGTGTAAAATTGATTGCAAAATTTGTACCGGACAAGAAAGCGAGCTAATAAAAACGTTTTAATAATCCAAACTGCAAACAAAACTAACAGATTAAAGGTTTTGCACTTCTGTTAAAACTTCATACAACAAACCATGCAAAATATAATTGTCAAACAAACACACCTTTCAGTCACATACATTCAACATATTAACTATTTAAGTTTTGTACAGCCTTCATGGCATCAAAAAAGTCATCAAATTTGTAATATGGGTTTAACTCAAGCCAATTTTTCACAATGGATACAAATTGATTGTAAAAATGGTGTTTACCGTATGAATAAATAAATAAATAATTTTGATCTCCTCTGGGAACGGACAATGCCAGGGAGGGCATTGAAAAACCTAATACCTTAACAGGAAAACAGTTTTGTGATTTACTTCATCTATTAGGCCTACTTTACTTATATGTACATTTGAACGATTTCTGGTCATGTAAGAGTGAACATCCTTATTAGGTCGTTAGGCCTATAAGAAGCATAACGGCAGTATTAGGCTAAACCTCAATAAAACGAACTTCTTAAGTTATTATGAATACCGTATCTCGATAATACAAATTTTTCCCTTACCTACCCCTTGAAATTTGTCTTACAGAGGTTCAACTAAGTTAACAAGGCCTGTTTAAGGCACATTTAAGGAAAAATTAACACATTCTAGGAGCTTGTTCTAAACATCAACCTAGGACTGGTAGGTAGGCGAAGTTAACTTACTAACAGTACCCTGGTAGTCAAGTTAGTACCTACGGCTGGGTTTTTTGCGGATGAATGTTACTAATCTGGTAGAGCGGTAGGTCTAATGGTCTAAGGTCACATTCTTCTTTCGCTAGGGGGCAGCTCTGTAGATTGATGGTAATGCCTTGAATCACGTCGGGTGAGCATAGCTCTCAACTAGAGAAGCTTACTTTTGCAGAAGAGGCCCACCATAAACAGTAGACAAGTTGGGTGGACGTTGATGGGATTGGTCTGGATTCTTTAAGAGTTGCAGTTGCATCAGGAATTTTGCTACATTTTATCTATCATTACTATCTGGTCCCCAAAAATATGTTTACAGAAGGAGTTTTTGTGTCTGAATAATACATTGGTAAGTTAGTAATGTAGGCATCAATATAAAATGGCGACAATATGTTTTAATTAGTAAATATAGATTCAATTATATATTTACAATGATATAGGCTACCACAAGTAAAACGTATATGTGTTTTCTTTGCAGAGTTGTCTAGATTATGGCTAGTAACAACATGGAGAACCCCCCACCCTACAGTGAGGCTATCAAACAGCCTCCGTACAACCCGACAAACCAAGGGCCTGCGCCCAAGTATGACGCTCACCAACAGTCTGCCGGGCCTCAGTATCCTCCTGCTGGTGAGTGAAACCTTTCACTGACATTCCATCCCCGTAGCACATTCTGTGAGTGGTTAATTTAATTACGTTCTATTTTAATAAACAAATAGGCTACACTTGCTGGTCTATATTGATTAGATGTTAAGTTCCTGAGTTGCTTTCTTTCTTAATGTTTATGTCAGGAGCATTTCTACATGAGGAATTACAAGAGGAAGTACTGAATGCTATTTTAGGAAAAGCTGTCCAAACCCATGAGTTGTGGATGTGCCAGGAATTGAACCTGTTCCTCCCACACCGAAGTCTTGTTTTGTTTAAGACTGTCTACTGACAATACTGTAGTTTATGTCACGGGCTGCCAAGTCATGCTAGACACCTAGAGTCAATTATTCTTAAAGAAATTACTATTTAGACCTACTGATGGTCATATTTAATTAGCCTATGTAGTTTATGTCCTTTTTCTTGAAAACCTAATTCATAATTTTATCTAACAATGCCTCTTGTAAGTTCATATTACTACTTAACTGGCTGGGTAGCTAAGTGGTTATAGTGCTCGCCTAGTAATCAAAAGGTCGCTGGTTCGATCCTGAAAAAAGTCAGTAGCTTTTTGATGGATCAAAACTGGACCCAGCTGTTCCTGATCATTGGGCTTTAAATAAATGATCCTGACTAATAAAACAGCTGATCTTAGTCAGTAACAAAGCTACACAGGTCATCACACACCATTCTACACTCATCCTTCACTCATATTTGGGTTAAAATACGCACCTAGGTGGCGTCCCCATCTCAATGATTGATAATTGATAACTTAACAAACTAGGTCACATAGGTTATCAGTGTATAAAACCATTGTAATATACAGTAGACTCCCTCTTATCCGGACACCTTTTAACCGGACATCTCTTTAACCGTACCACACTCGGCAGAAATGCCATCTCTTTGACCGGACAATTTTTATTAGCACAGTGGTTTAACCGGACTAGATCAGCAGGGAGTGGGCGGTACTGAAACGACTGTTCTCGTGGGAAAGATTTGAGACCAGTGATCACGTGTCCAAATACAGTGCTCTCCTAAATTTAAGTCGAATATCACAGTAAACGGTGTGTTTTAACGAGTTTTTTGGGACATCGGTTTAACCGAAAAACCCGTTATCCGGACTGGCCACGATCCCAAGGAGTCCGGATAATAGGGAGTCTACTGTATGGTAGCGTATACTTTGGTTTTTATGAAGAAATATATTTAGATGTCTAAAATTTTCCAATAGTTATTTACTTGGGCAGTTAAGAAATAATATATGGATAAGATATAAGAATAAAACCATAGTGCCAGATTATTGTGAGTAAATTAGATCCCAAGTCTTGCATTCTTAGGGAAAACAAACATGCTCTAGACTCTAGAGGAACAAAGCTTTGAAAAAGTTACATCTACTATTACTTTATAAAGTGAAATCTCATTAACAAGACCCTTGATAACAAGTTTTCCTTGATCTTGATAATAAGTTTAACCTAGTCTTTCAGATTTGTAACACCCTGCAATTTTGACCCCCCCAGCCATATAGGATTGCACTTAAATTAGTCTCAACTTTTTAATTCCATGTGTACGAACCTTACTTGTGCCCTTTTTAAACTTAGGATTAGCCAGAGGTTTTAGGCAGATAAAAACTAACTGTTTATGAAGATTTGTTTATTTGCGCAGGTCCCAGCATTAATGTGACCCGAACAGTGATCGTGATGCCCTCCTATGGCCCGTTCCCTGCTAGGACAATCTGCACCTCATGTCACGCAGACATTACAACTCGGGTGGAACACAAACCGAACACCCACACTCATCTGATGGCCTTGCTACTTCTGTTCCTGTGAGTGTATGTTGTGGGACTCAGGCAGATTGCGTTGTTGTAGTGAGGAGAATATCCCTCTTACAGATAACCTATTTTTCATACTGAATGAAACAGATTCAAATATCTAGCATCTCAAGAGTTTGAGCCAGTACAAGAATAAACTTTAATGTGGTGAACCCAAGACATTGCTGCCTTGCTTTTACAGTCCACACTCCACAAATACCAACTGAGCCATAATTCACTTTTCTTCTAGACAGTTTACATATAAATTAGTATAAGTTTGATTTTAAAAAGTGTATGTTGTATTTCTTGATGATTGGGAACGTTGAAGGTAATACATTATGTTAGTGTATTAATCTCATATGGTTTTGTCAAAGATTATTGCACTGAGTTGTTTTATGTTAGGATATATAATATAAAACAAAAGGGATATTTCCCCTACATAAAGTTACATTCCCAATCGATATTCCAACTCCACTATTACTGGGAAGACTGGAATTTCACCAGGAAGAGTTATATGTGAAGACCACAAATATATAATGTGTCGTCTGTCATTGTGTTAACAGGTTCTGGCCGTGTGCGCTGTGTCCTTACTGCACGGATGCCTGTCAAGACACCAACCACTATTGCCCTAACTGTGGTGCCTTCTTGGGAACCCACCGGGAGACTTAGGCCATCCACATCACTTCTACCCATATTTCTAAAGAGTGTTTTATACAGCAAACTCGTTTGGTAAATATACGAAGCGTAATTCCACCATTAAATCGTCAAGATTAATTCAGGTGCAATCGTTAATCACTTTGCATCGAGTTTGTTAATATTCCTTATTATGCATTCCTAAGCGTCCTACACTCGTATAAAGCCTCGGATTATTTCTATTGTTTATATTTATATTCTATATTTTACTGAAGTTTTATTGGTCGCATGACAATGTTATCGTCCTTTTGGATTCGATTTTAATCCAGCAAAGAATATTTTGTTACTAAACTTAGTTTGTACGAAATATTTGTGAATGCCAAAATAATCTTATTCTGTAAATAAAAGTATAAAATACACTAATGTTTTGACCTAACTGTGTTTTACCATATCCTCTAATTAGTTTTCTAAATAGGCAAATTTTCATATAGTAATTCAAAAAAAGAATAAATAATATTTAGCCTACCCTTAATCTGACTTAAGATTTATGGTATCCATAATAACTTTCTTAACTCTATTTAGCATATGGAAAAAACTAACTATTTATCATTCATGGGCAAGTTGGTACCTACCTAGTAAAAAATACCGTCTAGAATCTTCCCAATATAGTTACAATTTTATTGTGTTTGGTTTTCAGGATAATGATTATTCTAAATATTCAATTTTTTAAAATCCAAGAAAAGAGTTTGTATAGGCCTAATTTACAATTTCAAATAATTATCAACTATATATATCAAAGAGGTAACCATTTTGTTTCACAAAGTACTTGAGAAACTTCTTGGAATACTTGCATAATGAAGTACTTGAATGAACAGAGTTATCTCATCATGTATGCCTCGAGTTTCATGCCTGTGCATGTGAATTCCATTTTGCAAACAAATTGTTTCTGTATGTAAAACAAGAAACTATGTTTGTGCTAGGATTTAAAATGTCCTCATCAAACACATACAAATTGTTTTATGTTAGCTTAACCTAATTTAAATTTTTTTTATAGTTAAACAAATCAAATGAACTTCTTCAGTTCAAACTCGAAGACTGTGTTTCCAAAGAACTAACGTTTTGTTTATTCCCTTTGCAAAGCTACCTACTAATGTTATGTTTATATTTATCAGATTATTCTGTTTACTTCGCTCCACGATTACTAGAAAAATACCGGTATTGATCATAAACATAAACAAATGACGTTGTTGGCCCGAATCCTATACTAATATCATTGAACATATGTTTTGGCAGTTCCATTTAAGCAATGTTAAATAATGTTTATTTTCGGGCCAAAAACATCATTTGTTTATGTTTATGATCCATACCGGTATTTTTCTAGTACTCGTGCTTCGCTCCAACAATGGAGAGTAAGGTGAAGATATGTTGTCTAGTACACAAAGGCTATTGTTTTACGTTAAAGAATTGTGACAAACAGTTAGTTATCAGTACTCTGGTATTGTAAACATCTCAGACAAACAAACCTTGCAGAGGCACGTATGTCAATACAGCCGACCTTGAAGTTTAACACACGATTCAGAACAATGCTGTTTCGAACTCCTTCTCATTGGCAATGTTTTAAATTCTGTACGTACACAAGAAATTGTAATTTGTGATAACTACAGTTGGTCTAAATAGATAAGGGTGCCTAAATTCAACACACATATTTTACTTCTGTTAGTTTTAATTAAAAAGCTATTTCATTTCAACAATTTCTCAGTTTTAAGTCACAGTACTGAAGATTAGTGTGAAGTATTGTTAACATTAGAGCAAATGTTGCATGGTTTCACCGTATTAAATTATCATTTAAGTTTTATCTGTCTATCTACTTATCTATTTTGTGCTGAGTACAAAAATTCAAGACGGAAAGAGCCCAAAATACCCCCGCCGCAGCAAACCTGCCGACTAAGCGAATTTCCATTTGTCTGAAATGATTTTCAATTAAATCTATTTAACATTAGTTTTAACGAGTACCTAGGTTTATTCAGCATTGCCTCCAGGATTGATTTAAGACAGTATAAAATAGGTTTACGTACCTTACGTCGTCAATCCTTGAATAGTCTTACAAGCGAAGCGACTGAGTCAGTAGCTGAGTCGTGTCCATCGTGCGTGTTATGGCTGGCCGCGCATCTTTCTGTAATTAAATGTATTTGTGCGTGTTAAATGTTTTATTTGTGTATTTTGACGACGACATTATGTTCCAATAATTTTATGTTTGACGACACAGCTTGTAAATGAAACGCCAGTTTCGAAACTAGTCGCTTGTAAGACTATTCAAGGATTGACGACGTAAGGTACGTAAACCTATTTTATACTACCTAGGTTTGCTGCAACAAGGGATTTGATTTAATAAAGTAAGTTTTCTAGTAAAATGTTAATAGCTTAGTATAAAATAAATAATATTGCCAAGTTTGATAAAAATATATCCATAAACAAGCTAACTATAACATTTTACAATATTTGCCATAAGAATATCATGGAAATTTTGAATTTTCTCCGTTACCAATAACCACACACACACTAACACTAACAACACTTTTGTATTATTTGTTGTTTTAAGCTCTTTAAAAAGGTCTAGAGAGAAATTGGGAAATTTTGTGTTTTTGGGGTCAAAAATGAGAAAAAGCAATTTTTACCCCATAAAACCCCCCGTAAAACCCCGTTCCCACATTCCAATCATGCTGGTTCACGATCTCATTCAAGTTTATCCCGCCTTACACCTTTAAACTAAATTTCATCAAAATCGGACAAAAATTACTCAAGTTCATATATACACACACACACACACACATATACAGGGTGAGTTTCTACTGACCGTGTTAACTTCGCCAGTGGGTTCTACTCACGAAAAGGAACAAAAAAGTTCCTATAAACCCATGTCCGATTTTCGACCGTTTGGCTGTTTTGGGGGATTTTGTGTTTTTCTTATTTTATTAGACTTTGCTCCACAATTTATGTAATAAAAACTTAACCAATTACTTTAGAGAGTTATAGTTAAAATCATTGGAAAGAACATTAAATTTGCTATAAATCAAAGGTTTCATTCAACAATTATACCATTACATAGTCCACGTTATAACCAAAATAAAGTAAAAATGTCATTAAATTAATTAATTACGATAATTTTCATGGGCCTCCTTTGATACATAAACCTGCATTTATGCAATGTTGAAATGCATAAAAAACTTGGCATTTTAATAATCTTTCAAATGATATGCTATTCAATACTATTATTGATATAAACCAGTGAGAAATTACTAATAAACTACAATAAAACACGGTTTACAGATTTTGTTTTTGCACAGTTTTACTGTTAATAATAATTACTGTATTCATCATGTTGGCATAATCTTGAATGGTAAAAGGCTCCATATTTTAATAAATGTTGAAAAACTCTTAATTGACTTGGAAATATAAAGTTAAAACAGCAAATTACTCAACAAGGTATGTTCAAGCAGCTGAGTTATCTAGCTATAGATGACAAATCAATAAAAGCTGACTTAATCAAGCACAAGGTAAAACTAATTACACAGCATTTAAGAATCAAACACACTACATCTTTGAAAATGTAAAAAAAAACCTTGAGTTTATACATTTTATTAATTCAGATAATTTTAATAAATATTTCAAAGTTAAAATAATGTACAAATTTTATCAGATAGTTCAATAAAATACATCATGGAGTATACAGTAATTATTATTAACAGTAAAACTGTGCAAAAACAAAATCTGTAAACCGTGTTTTATTGTAGTTTATTAGTAATTTCTCACTGGTTTATATATCAATAATAGTATTGAATAGCATATCATTTGAAAGATTATTAAAATGCCAAGTTTTTTATGCATTTCAACATTGCATAAATGCAGGTTTATGTATCAAAGGAGGCCCATGAAAATTATCGTAATTAATTAATTTAATGACATTTTTACTTTATTTTGGTTATAACGTGGACTATGTAATGGTATAATTGTTGAATGAAACCTTTGATTTATAGCAAATTTAATGTTCTTTCCAATGATTTTAACTATAACTCTCTAAAGTAATTGGTTAAGTTTTTATTACATAAATTGTGGAGCAAAGTCTAATAAAATAAGAAAAACACAAAATCCCCCAAAACAGCCAAACGGTTGAAAATCGGACATGGGTTTATAGGAACTTTTTTGTTCCTTTTCGTGAGTAGAACCCACTGGCGAAGTTAACACGGTCAGTAGAAACTCACCCTGTATATATATATACAAATTTTAACGAATGGTGTTTTTGGGAAACTATATTTTTTATTGTCAGAAAAGTACGTCCCCATGAGCTGTAAAGAAATATAGGACGCTTGCTTGTGACGAACTGGCTTATCCATGGGAACGTTAAACAACAATGAACGGTGACGTTTCGACTTCCGGAACGTTTCTGGCGCCGTGGCCTGGCTGACGTTCCGGGACGTCCGTTGCAGCGAACGTGTTAACTTAAACTTCCTAATCCAATCTAACTTCAAAACACTTTGTACAGTCACAGACCTGTTATCTTACTCACTTGCCTTTTCTGTCATCAAGTGGGATTTTGAGATTTTACAGAAAGTAGGTTTAGTCACAACAGTTTAATTTGCAAATGTACAGTATTCTTGTGTAGCTAGGATAAAGCTAACACGTTTATAAATGTTGTTACAAAGTTTTTGTCAACCATGTTGGTTTGTGTAGGGGTATAAACTTGTTTATTTTGCGCTGCAATTTTACAGCTGTTTATCTCCCTCATCTTAAAATGTTAGTCACTGCTATAAACTGGACTCGCTCAAATCACCATCCAAACCACTTCATGAATTTAATTTCCTAATCTTTGATTTAGTTTAACGAACGACATGGCAAATTGTGTTCAAAGTCACATACAAATCAAATTTTCTAATAATTTTTAATAAACCTATATTCAACCTTTACCTGCATTGGAACAAAGTTTGTACTCCAACTCTCAGATTTAACAACTTGTGTAGTGTAAGGAAGTTTTCCCTTTGATAGAGAAAAGTTCCTTCATACTCCTATTTCCTTACTCATCTAGGGGTTTGTCCTCCTGCGTTAAGTGACAAATCGGTGACTAACATAAAAATTTGTCTGATTTATTGCCCCTTTCTATTTACACTATTTACAATACTTTTGGCTTCCGAGGTAATGATTGTGCCTTGAAACACTGAAGGCAGACTTGCAGGGTATCAAACCTCAACACCGTATTGATTCTAGGTGTTCCTATAGATGTAACAACATCTCCCAATGAAATAGGTCTTTTTAATATTTTTTCTTCGAAATGGTGACCATACAATGGTAGGTATTTAAGCCAAGTATGAATGGAGATGAGTATAGGATGAGTGGCGCGATGTTGTAGTCTTGTTAGTGACTAAGG